TCAGCCCAAGTTGAATACTCCTCACTCGTGCCCTGTGATGACTCGTTGCCCTCTGGGCCAGTGTCTCTCGCACACTCGGTGGGAGGGTCGTGTCCATCATGGAGGCTCCCTTTAGGCATGTGGGAGTTCATCTGTGGAAGGGTAACAAGCACCCCGCCTGTGGAAGTAGCCACCACTGTCCCTACTGATGAGCTAATCCCGGGTGTGGGGGACAGAGAGCTGGGATTATTGGGGCGAGGTATTCAGAGCACGTTGTTGGCTCACTAACCGCACCCTTCCACACCCCTGCACTGTGCATAGCGGTGTCACCTGCCCTGTCAGCATGGAGATGATGGGGAGCAGGGGCGCGTGTGCCTCTAGCTGTGCATGTCCTCACTCCAGCATCTGCTCAAAGGTAAGCTGTGGGGAGATGACAGGAGTAAGTGACGGAGTTAGGGCAGATCTGGGAGTTCGCAGGAATGACTTCTCTTTTAGGACCGTGACGAGGCTAAGCTAGAGGAAGGAGAGGGAGCCCAAAAGAACCCTAGGAAAACCCCAGAGTGGCAGTGTGGGCACCAGGAGCTTCCATGGTCCTCCCACTCGCACAGCTGGAGGCAGCTCTGTTCTGTCCCGGTGACAGACCGTGCTCTGGTCTCAGCAGTGGAGGCCCTGCCCTGGACCGGTAAGTGTCTGGCTATAGTTAGTATTAGGAAGTTGGGCCAGAGAAACAAAACCACGTGGTGGGAGCAGGAAGTGTTTCTTACAAGGGCTGGACCTCGCTCAGCTTGTCAGTGCAGCGGGGCGGTTGGGAAGGGGAGGGTGGACGGGACGCTGAGACCGCAGGGGCGGAATGAAACGTACACCTGTCGCTGCCTCCAGGTCTCCTGCAGAAGTTCTTCCTTCTTGAAGCTGCGCACACCTGGCCCAGGTAGAGGAAGCTGAAGGAAGAGGTCCAGCGGAGGCCTGCTGCCCCATGCCAACAGGTGACCTGTGACCTGCCCCTGCCTGCCCCGTGTGCGTGTGCTGTGTTGCTCTGCCTTCCAAACCCCACAGACTCTGCCCAACAGGAACCTCGAACAAGCTCGGGAGCAAGTCTGGGGAGCAAGTCTCCCCTCGCTGGGTAACCCAGGGCGGATCTCCCTCAGCGGCCACGTGGCTGAGCCAGTCCCTCCAGCCCAGCCTCAGTAACACAGTGTTGTCCCACCTCCCTGGCTGCTCTGCGTTCTCATTTGTTTCACAACACGGAGGTGGGGATATAATTTATCAGCCCTTTCCCACTCCACTGTCAGTCCCATTTTGTAGATGAAACAGAAGTTTAGGAGTTGAGATAACAAATAAGTGGAATTTAAACCCAGGCTATCATTGGAGAGCCCAGATGTTCACCTCTAGGCAGCTCTCCCTCCCCACTGTGAGCGTTGGAACTGCAGCTGAGGATCCAGGATTGGGGCCCAAGCTGTTGATTCTTTGACACCCATCAGGCCCCAGGCCCTGCTCCATCCAGTAACACCACAGTTCCAAGCTTGTCTGACGACAGCAACGTCCTGATGCCACAATGTCTGTTTTTAGGCTTAAGAAACAAGGATCTTTAGTTACAAAGCAAAACGTTCCAGAAGCTTCTCCCTGGCTTTCTCAGAACGTCTCTTATTTAATGTGTGTAATTACTTAAGCTAAGCTTGGGAGAATTGTAATCGAAGTTTAAAGATAAAGTAATACTTTTTTACTATAAAACTAATTTTTTAAAACTTTTTAAAGAATCGTAAAGGGATCCCAAGCACAGGCGTTTATGTTTGCCAGTGTCTGCTGGTACCAGGCAGCCAGGGAGTGAGGTGGGTGCACCTGTGGCATTTCAGACTTAGAAGGTAACGTGGTTTCTGTCTTCTGTATCAGGTGACATCCCCAGGGTCTCTGGCACAGCACCTGGTGATCAAATGCAGGTCTTGGTGCCCCAGTTTAGAGCTGTGACCACTATAAGCTTCTATCATGCAAAGGTTTTAAAGATCTTTGCATCTGTTCAGATTCAGTTTCCCTGCCAAACGAGAAACAAACGAAAATCGTTTGGTTTTCTAAACTCAGTAAAGGGCATGGGACTGGACAGCTTTCTTGGTGGACCGTGGGAAACCCCCCATGGCCACCGAGGCTCTGGGTCTCGTGCTGGAATCTTCGACTTGTCTATAGTTGCCTTGTCTATTGGACACACACTTTGCAACCCAGGAGAACTTAGAATTTAGTGAAAAAATGTTTAAGAAAAATAAACCCTTAGAATTAATACTTCTCTGTTAAGTAATCTGCAAAATGTTAGTATTTTGTATCCTTGTAACGTCCTGACCCAAATTCCCATTTAAAGAAAAGCTGGGAACAGAGACCAGTGGTCCGTTGGCAACGTTTTGCTCCTGGCAACTGCCAAAGCCCAGGCAGCCCACTGAGTAGAGAAACCCGCTAGTTAAGAACTTAATGTTCTCTCCCTCCAGCTGCACTGTGGCAGTGGCACTATCTCATGTCATCGAGGAGACTTCAGGACATCGCAGGTGGCGACTCGGGCTCCCTGCTGCATCCCCACGCCCGGCACTCAGCGGGCACCTCCGAATGCTCAGCACCAAGAGTGAAACTAATGGAAAGAATGGACCCTGGGTGATGACAACATGTCAGTGTAGGTCCATCTGTGTCACAGACGTCCCACTCCGGTGAGGGATGTTGGTGATGGGGAGCCTGATGCCCCTGGCCCCACACGCACAGCCTCCCCATGACCAACACCCCTCACCAGAGTGGGATGTTTGTGACACAGATGGACCTACAGTGACACGGCGTCATCACCTGTCACCCGAATACTTGTTGGATGAAGTGCATGTGCTGGGGGGTTGGAAGAGCAGCTCCGAATCTGATAGTCAGCACGTATTTGGACCATTGTCATTTGCAGTTGTAGGAATTACAAAGGAAATGAGCTCTGAGTGGGCCACCACCTTTCTCCCCGATCCTGCATCACGTCACCTTGTTTCTCTAGGTCTTCCGTTCTCCCTCTGCCTCTGTCTTATAAGGAGCATGTGATGCACCCAGATAACCCAGGATCCTGCCCTCACCTCAAGGTCCCTCATTTAGTCCCATCCACAAAGCCCCCCGTGCCCTGTAAGGTCACAGTCCCAGGCTCCAGGGATAGAACCTGGGCATCTTCGGGGCTGTTATCCAGGCCACCCCCCCCCCATTCCTGCTGTGCCTCTGCAACGGGACTTCTAGACAGGGCAGAGGTCATGATCCTGCTATGGACTGAGTGCCACATGGCGGTCACTACTCATTCATTCATTCAAGCGTTTCCCATTTTATAAGTAACGGGGTGGAGACAAGAGGTGAGGAAACTTGCTCCAGCCCGTGTCAGAGCTCAGCTTCCTGCCGGCCCGTCCATCTCTAGAACCCACCTCTGAGCACCCCCCATGGTGCCCCTAGGTGCCTGGCACAGCAGGTCGCAAACCTTGTCAGGCCCACAGTTGTGGGAAGGACTAGCTGACCCCCTTGACACCAAAACTAGGGATGTATGTTCCAGACTAGAGGGGCGCTTGGGATGTGAGGGATGAGCTGAGATGTGGAGGATGTCGGAAACCCTAACCCCAACCCTGGGCCTCCGTGAGAGGAGCGGACCCACCACCTGTCCTCGCACACGCTCTGGTTGACCTCGATCCCTTAGAGTGTGGCTACGATGACCCAGCAGAGGGGCGGGCGAGCCCTGGGCACCAGTGCGCAGGGCAGTCACCGTCCAAGCAGAACACGGACACTTCCACCTAAGCCGATGAAACCACGTACAGGAAAGCCCTCGGTCAGCTCTGAAACCGGCCGTCGGCGCTCCCACCCCGCTGCTCCCCAGCCCCCGTCCCCGCTGTCACCTGCCCCTCAGCTCTGGCAGCTGCTGTATTGCCTCGCCTGCCGAGCTGGTCAGTGTGTACGGGAGGGAGGAAGACTTGCTTCCCCCACCTCGGCAGCATCCCCAGTTACCCGTGAGCGGCGTGGCCTGCGGGTGCCCGCCCCTCCTCAGGCTTTGCCCCAGATTTAGCAGGTGGGGGCCTAATCCCACCGAGGAGGACAAGCAGGGACACTCAACAGGCAGGGAGGAATGTTCAAGTGCCAAGATTTCTCTGACTTCTGCTCCCCAGGTGCAGGGAGGGACAGCCTTACTCTGTGTCCCCGAATGCAGAAGCGCCATCTGCCCCTTTCCTTCCCAGCTGCATGGGGGCGGGGCCCCCCTCAGGCCCACCTGCCCGTTGCACAGCCCGTCACTGTCGTCACTGTCGCTTAGGAAGGGAGGGCCCAGGACAAACATCACCCTCAACTTCAAAGGAAGGTAAAGTGCCCGCCTGCGCCTCCCAGGGAAATGCCGTCTGAAATGTGGCTCAGTCCTAGGAGGCCTGTTCGTTTGTCCCGCCTGCTAAATAGCATGTATTCTGCTAAGTGAAAGGGAGGGTTTTTCCCTTTTGCTTATTGTAAGACATTTATTAGTAACACGGGATAATCAGCCATGGTGTTACACTCTTCCATACATAAGGATGCTTGAGTTTTTCAAAACTCACAAGTACTGTGGGAAAGAAGAACTGAGAAACCAAGAAAAACTCAGGCATGTGGACCCCCCACGTGGGTCATAGGCTCGCATGCGATAAGCTGCATGTAAACCCAGGGCGGTGGACAATGCATACTTTAATTTTAAAAGCCAATTTCTGTTTCCGTAAAAAAGGGAACTGATCGGTGTCACAAACACATATGTCTGTGCAAACTCTTTCCAGAACAGCCTCCTGTGCTGCACCCTGGGTCTTAGCTCCCCCGGCTCCCCAGATAAACCTAAGCAGCAGAGGCTGCTTCGGCCGCAGGCTCTGCTGCTCATGTGCACGGTGCCTCCACGCGGACCGAGGAGAAACGGCTTCCTTCCAGCTTCGAGCTGGCTCGTGGGGGAAGAAGTGGAAGACGGCAGTGACAAGTTAGCGTTGCCCTTGCCCACGGTGCGGCTGCGTGGCAGTGGCAGTGGCAGTGGCAGTGGCAGGCCGGCCTCACACCACCCTCAGTGGGTTGGCCACACGGCCCAGGAAGTGGAGGGCAGTGGAGTCTTGGTCATAGACGGCAAACAGGAACGGGCGGTTCAGGGTCACCTCCAGGGCCCCGGGGCCTGCCGGCTGCTGGGCAGACCCTGCGGGCTGCTCTCCCTGGTCTGCTTTGAGTTCGAACAGGATGCTGTTCATCACCTGTAAAGCAGCAAGCGTTGGGGTGGCTCCTGCAAGCTCCGCAGGGCCCAAGGATGGCTGTGCAGAGCTGCCCACAGGGGGGTGGTCCCAGCATGCCGGGGGGATGCCCAGTGCCGGCGTGTCCCCAAGGACTCTCACTCAGCGCAACGTGATGGCTCCTCCCTAAAGTGTCCCTCGTATCTCCCTCTCCACCCGGGACACACTAATGCTGTCCCGGTGGGATCCCTGGCCCCTCCACTCTGGCCCACTAGCGTTTGGGTGATCCTGCTCACTTAGCACAGAGGGCTCTGCCCCCCAACAGTGGTCTCTGAGGCCAGGACTGGGAGTGACCCTCTTTCTCCGAGCCCAGAGCCCAGAGCACGCAGCTGCATTGTCCCATGTGGCAGTGGGACAGTCTGTCCACAGTGGGGTGTTTCTCTAAAGCCAGGAGCTGTCCAATAAGGCTGGCCCTTGGCTTGGGGGCACTTTCCTAGTCCCCACACTGCTATAGGATCTGGGGAGGACCCCAGGCTGGGCAGAGCCACAAACAGGGTGGGAGGGGTTTGCTTCTCTCCACCTGTCTCAGGAAAGCCCCAGAAAGCTTTGGTCACATCTCTTCCACCCTGGGTGCACACCCGCTTGGCCATGTTTTCCTCTCCCTCCTGCCCTAGACCACCTTCCAGAAGCTTCCTCTGTGTTGCTCCCATCACACCTCCTGCCCTGGGAATGCACAGTTCCGAGTCAGGCACGGGCCTCACGGTACCTGTCCGACTCTGAGTTTGTCACTGCTGATTTTGTACAGGTTTGCCTCGGGGCCCAGCAGGGTGGGCAGCTTGGCCTGGGCGAGCAGTTCCTGCAGATCGTAGGACCCTCGCAGCACCAGCTGGGGCATGGTCAGGTGGATGGCCCTGTGGAGATGACCCACAGTTAGGAAGGGTCCAGGTGGCTCCCACGGTGAGGCCTGGGCCCCACACAGAGGGCTCGCTGAAGACCCAGGAAACCCGCTGGCACGTGACCCTGCTGGAGATGATGGTGATGGTTGTACCACAATGTGAATGTACTTGATGCCACTGAACTATACATTTAAAAATGATTGAAATGCTAAATTTTATGTCATATGTCAACAACACACACAAAAAAAAAGACAAAAAAAATAGTTGAGCCCTGGCCAGTTTGGCTCAGTGGTTAGAGCATCACCTGGCGCACTGAAGGGTCGTGGGTTCAATTCCCAGTCAAGGGCACGTACCTGGTTTGCAGGTTCCATCCCCAGCCCTGGTCAGGGCACCTGCAGGAGGCAACCAATCGATGTGTCTCTCTCACATGGATACTTTCTCCCCCCCCCCAACTCTCTCTAAAAATCAATGAATTAAAAATCTTTCGGTGAGAATTAATAAAAGAAAAAAATGAAAGAGTTGACCCCTTAAAGCAGACTTCTGGGCCCCCTGCTCTGCGCCTGGCGTGTGGGCCAAGTCTGCTGCCCCCGTGGAGAAAAGCTGCTTCATTCTCATCACCATCAGAAAGACGGGCAAATGACTGAGCAGCCAGCCAGGGGTCCTGGAGTCAAGGGAAGCTCCCCGAGAAGGCCCCCAGGTCTCTCAGGGGGGTCCAACCCTTCTGGGAGGTCAGCCCCCAAGAGGCACTTAGGACCCAGCAGATAGATGGTCTACGTGTCTGGGTCGGTGTCAGAAAGGTCCCTGCTCAGAGTGGGCATTGGCATGCACTCTGACCCCCCAAACGGGGTTCATATAAGCCCGAGGAAAATCACCTCTCCTGCCCCAGGACTATGGTACATCAGCCAACCAAGCACCGGTCAACAGACCGGTGGAGGTGAGGATGGGTGTGCAGGAGCAGCAGAGGCCACCACGGCCTGTCCCTGCTCTGTGCCCAGGGCTCAGCCAACACCAGCACCCCATGCCCCCCACGTCCCCTCCCGCCCTGGGCAGAAGGACCGGCACAACACCCCCTTTCCAGGGGAGCAGCTGGGAGGTTCCGAGCAGTTCCCCAGGGGCTGTACCGGGGAGACAGGTTCTTAGTCCAGGTCATGAAGTCGCGCTGGAAGGTGAGGGCCTCAACCTCCTCCAGGGCTGAGGCGAGGTGGGGCTGGATCAGCAGCAGGCCGACGTTCTTGCTGAGGGGCACCTGGGTCATGGAGAGGTTGTTCCGGGTGTCCCTCCAGTGCTGGAAGGTGCCCATTCCCGAGAGCATGGGGACGGAGACGGAGGTGGTATTGTCCACCCAGAACTCCTGGAGGCTGGGCAGCAGGGAGAACCCCTTCATCTGGCCTGGGGACCCAGACAGAGAACAAGGGAAGAGTCAGCCTGGTTGGCAGGCATGTGGGCACAGGGAGGGCCGTCTGCCCAGCTGAGGGGCAGGGGCTGGGCTGGGTAGGCCTAGGGGACCGACCCCAAGGCCTGGCTCCTGCCCTCCCTCCCCAGCACACCTGAGCCACTGCTCTTTCCCGAGGGCTGGTCAGGTCCTCTTCCTGCAAAATCCAGCCATTGTGACTTTGCTCAGGTAACAGGGATGGCCGATGGCAAAGACACAGTGCAGCCAGGCACCAGCCTGAGACTGTGACCTGTCACCTTACTTAAGGCCCATAAGGACACCAGAGAGCTCAAGGAACCACCCCACTAGTAACCGATGGGGCAAACTGCACCCAGATCTGTTCTGGCCAGAAGCCTGTGGTCCAGCATGCTGACTTTGTGTTGTTTTGTGCTTTATATTAAAATAAAGTTTACTTATTTAGGGCAGTTTTAGGTTCACGAAAGAACTAAGAGGCAGGTACAGAGACTTTGCATGTACCTGCTACCCCTGCACACACAGCCCCCCTCACTGTCAGCACCCCCCCCACAGTGATGAGCCTGCAGAGTCCACAGTTTACATCAGGGTTCATTCTGGGTGTGGTACATCCTATGGGTCAGGACAGTTGTGCGATGACATGTGCCCACTGCTGTAGTGTCACACAGGGTGGTTTCACGCCCCCAAACATTCTGGGTGCACACTCGCTTTCTGATCTTCATACAGCACCAGCTATGACAGATTGAAGGTGTCCTCCAGAGTCCCTTCTCCCTTTCTTAGTCACAGAGGGAAAGCTGGACTCACCCCCAGGAATGAAGGCTCATTTCTCAGAACCCCTGCTGCTGGGGACAGACCTACGGCTCAGCTGCGCCCAGCAGGTTTGAGCTGATGTGCTATGTGCACCCCCTGTGATGGGCCTGGGGGTGCACCCCCTGTGATGGGCCCGGGGGGGTGCACCCCCTGTGATGGGCCTGGGGGGTGCACCCCCTATGATGGGTCTGGTAGTCAAGCTTTTACCCCGACGTCCACTGACACCCCTGCCCCCCACAACCCTCCCACTTGCCTTGAAAGGCCCATTCGTGGTGTTTCTGGGAAGAAAAGTGAAATTGAGGAAGAGATCACCGAGCAGCCCCTGGCACTGACTGGGGAGGCTGAGCAGAGGTGACTTAAAAAGAGTCACCTTCCCTCTCACTGAATCAGGTCCCCGGGCCAGGGCGGGAGTAGGAGGGACAGGCTCCCTGGCAGGAGCGAGCAGCCCGGCTTTGCTGTCCCGGGTCTGTGAGAAGGGAGAGCGGCCCCGGCACCTCCTGTCCTTTGTACCCAGAGCGCTCGGGGGGTTGACAAAAGCAGCTCGAGCACGGGTGTGGGAGCTTCGAGGCTACCCTTTCCGACAGCAGGGAGGGACCTGAGAGCATCGTGCTCAGTGAAACAAGCCAGCCAGAGAAAGACAAGTGCCACACGATCTGACTCATATGTGGAACCTAATGAACAAAATAACCGATGAACAAAATAGAGACAGACTCATGGACACAGAGAACAGACTGACAGCTGCCAGAGGGGTGGGGGGTTGGCAGGCTGGGTGGAGAAGCTGAGGGGATTAAGCCGAAAAAGCCAAAAGCCTCATAGAAGACAGTGTGGTGATTACCAGAGGGAAAGGGGGGTGGCAGGAGGTAGGAGAGGGTAAAAGACGGTAAAGGGAATAAACGGTGACGGGAGACTTGACTTGGGGTGGTGAGCACACAATATATTACACAGATGATGGATTATAGAATTAGGCACCTAAAACCTATATAATTTTATTAACCAATGTCACCTCAATAACTTCAATTTAAAAAAAGAAGCTTCGGTGGCCTTCCTGCCATGCACCCCTCAGGAACCACCAGGCCCAGCAGGAGACTTTTTCATTTAGAGAGAAAAAAAGTACTAAATTTTTTCCACCAACAAACTAAAACAAACAGACGCTGGAACCTGGACCGAGGGGGCTGCCCTCTCCCCTCTTCTCATCTGGTCCGGAGATTAAGTAAATCTCTCAAGGTTAAGTCAATGGATGTCGGATGTTGTGGGACCCGCCAGGGCCAGCACGTGGGCTCGAGGTGACAGGAAGTGCTGGGCAAAGGGTGCCTGGAGCTCACAGTTGTCCAACCTGCCTGCCCCAGCTGTGCACTGAGGCGGCTGTAGCAGGACATTATGACTGAAAGAGGACTTGGAGCTCCCTTGAGCTCGAAGGGACACGGCCTGCTCATTTCATAAAGGACACACTGTGGAGGGTGGGAAGGGGGTGTGCACCCCCATCTGATGGACACTGAGGCAGGGAAAGCTTAGGGCGCGAGGTCAGAGGGCTGGACCACGGCGGGCTGGGGAGGCGCTCGGATTTCTGCGTCCTGGGCGAGGTTTGCCTTTCCCTACATGTCCCCCTTCTCTCTCTCGCCTTCCTCAGCTCTGTCCTCTGGAATCATGGGGACAGGTACTTTTCCAAAGCGAGGCCGCATTTCTGACACCAGTGGCTCCCTGGCTTTGCCTTGTGGGGGCCACGGCTTTCTCAGTGAGCTGTCCTCCCGGGGCCCCCCTTAGGGATGGCACGCCAACCCACGGCCCCCTGTGCCCTCCGCGGGTGGCTGTCCTCCGCTGAGGGCCCCGTGCCGGATTCTGCTCCAGTGACCTGTGGGAGCTGGGACCCGAGCAGCCCAGTCTGCCTTCTTCTTTCTGCCCCAAGGGCAGCAGGAGGTCCTTTCACGGGTCAGGTTTACAGAGTGAAGTTATCAGACTGGTCCTGCCTCTTGAACCTCTCCCCCCACAGCTCTGTCTTCAGGGGCTGGCTTACTAGGCTCCCTGTCCCCCAGAGGCTGCTCATCTTGAGTGACCCTCATCAATGTCCCTCAGACGCAGCGCTCCCAGCCCACCCATCGACCACAGAGTTTGCCTGGACGGTTGCAAAACCTCCCAAGGACCCTCCCGTCTCCAGTGCACACAGCAAAGGTCATTGGGACGACCTCTGGGCAGGACGCTTGCCCACTTGGCCACCTGCCACCAAAGAACTCTAACCTTCCCAGTAGCACATTCCGAGTCTCAAAATCTGGCCCTGACCCATCTTTTCAGCCCTGCCTTCCACGGGCCCTCTCTCATCCTAACATCCTGATCTCATCCCTCACCCTGAACTTGGCCACCTTGACTCGCAGGTTTATCTTCCTGGAAGCCCTGCTCCCCTTGTCACCCCCAAGCCTTTTGTCCGCTCCCCAGTGACCCCTCCTCCGAGTGCTCCGAGCCTCCCGGAGCACCTTCATGGAGGACTTTTACCTGCAGCTGTGTGGCCGAGGCATTTGCCCACAGGATCTGTCTCCCCCATTGAACTTCAACAACCTGGGGTCGGGGCCCATGCATCCCTCCCACCCGGCCCCTCTGACATGCCCAGCTCAGCACCCCGCAGGCAGCGAGTTCTCAATGATTATTGGGTGATTGAATGAGCAACCCGAGTAGTGGGGGTTGCTTCTTAATAGCCGTCCCAACGTGAAAGTGATTTAAGCAAAGAAATCTGTTATTTTTACATAGGATAGTGACCTTTCAAGAGACAGGAACCCTCAACCTTCTCAAGAGACAAAAACCCAGCCCTTCTAAGAGAGGAGCTGGGCCGTGGGGGTCAGGAGATGTGGGTTCGGATCCCAGGCCCTCCGCTCATGGCCGGGCCATCTCGAGCAAGTCACTTTGTCCCCCTGCATCTCTATTTCTTCACCAGTAGCAGCTCTTCACTGCACACGGGGAATTAAAGGATGGGAGTGGCAAGAGGCAGCACAGTCGCTGCAGAGACAGGGCAGCCGGTGGGCAGGCGGACGCCCAACCAACACTCATCCAAGGAGCCCAGTGGGCCAGCCACTCCTTCTTCCCTGAGGGTGGCCCCAGGTACTGCGCCATGTCTGCCCCCCTGCCCACCTGCAAGGCCGAGCCCTGCTCAGCTGAGATGTTGGACATTAGGGCCATGGAGACAGAGAGCCGCCACCCTCTGGCACCAGCCGGGGGGCAGAGCCCGCCCTGGCTTCGCCTTACCTTGGAAGTGGATGTAAGCGTTGAAGAGCAGGGAGCTGTCGGGGCTGCCTTCCCTCAGGGGCCTGCCCATATTCCACCCGGTGGCGGCCTGCATGAACCTGTTGATCAGCTCACAAGCGAGGTTTGGGTCCCTGGACAGGTCGAGAGAGCGCGGGAGGGTGACGGGGGCGAAGGGAGCCAGGCCCTGCACGAAAGGCCTCTTCAGGCGCAGGCCATCGTTGGTGAACAGGCCCACCACGGTGGACAGGCGCAGCCTGGCCGGGTGGCCAGCCCTGTCCTGCAAGACCAGAAGGCCCTGAATGGCCTGCAGGGTCGAGAGGACCTTGTGACCATCCAGCTGGGAGGTGCAGCTGAGATCCTCCCCGGGGACGCCCAGGAAAGTCTGCAGCCTGCTGGCCGTGGTGCCCAAAGCTCCCAGGTAGAAGGAGGTCAGGGTGCCAAAGAGAGCTGTTGGGGAGAGGATGGCCACGCTGTCGTCGGTCTGTGTCTCGGTCAGCATCTTGTACATGCGGAAGCCCATGAAATTGAGGAGCATCCCCACCATGGTCACCCGCATCTTGTCTTCACCCCGGAGCTTCTGGGCAGCCAGCACTAGCTTCTCCCGCAGGCTCTCTTCGTCTACTGGGGGCACCTCGTTCTGAATGGGGAGAGGCGTGAGGGTTTGGTCTTTGGGCGTCTCCCCATTGGGCTTCTCCAGCTGTTCGCAGGTGCTCTTGCTGTAGACAAGGAGGTGGAAGGGGTGTATATAGACCCGGTCAGCAGTGGGCAGGCCAGCCCAGGCCAGCAGACAAAGCATGGTGGCCCTCAGGCCCACACCCGCAGGACGCATCTCCGACGGGCACTCGCTTCTGCAGACCCTGAAACAGTTCACGGAGGGTGAGAGGTGATTATTGAGTGCCCTCTAGCCAGACTTGTTCCTGTGCCCCCTGCAGCCTTTAGCTTGAAGAGACCCACCGTGTCTGCAAATTTCAACAAGAAGAAATAGATTCAAAGGTCCATAGAAAACATCTATGATCCAGGCGCAAAACGCCTGCTCACGGGCTGAGGCGAACTTTTGCAGGGTTTTGTTCCATGTTCTGTTGCATTTTTATAAGGGTGGGCATGTCCCTTCCTGGCTACACAGGCCTCATAGAAAGATCGAGTCATCAGGGAAAACTGTGGACCCCGCAGGTAAGCAAGCCCCCTCCCCGCTTTGCACTGGCGACCGGCACAGGCACGGTTCAGGTGACGCGATTTCATGGGTCATTTCCAAGGCGGGGGCTGCTCTCTGCTCTCAGCCGTGATCGGCTCCCTGCCCCGAGGGGTCTCGGTCAGCAAGCAGCGGGCAGCAGGCAGCAGGGCATCCAGGCCCCATGGGTGCTCCTGGCAGTGTGTCTGGCCTGATGCCCACTTCCTGCGGGCCTCTCCTCCCTCACCCCCGCTTGGTCTCCCTCTTCACCAGTCCCTCCTTCTCAGTGTCCCTGCTCCTGGTGGCCCCGTGGCTCCATGAAAATGGTGAGGGTGGCTGCTAACACTTACAGAATGCTGAACACCGCCGGGCACTGCATCACCCTCTCTAATCTTTACCACAGCCCTCCCCTCCTGCTGCGGCTTTCTTTACACCCGGTTCTAGCTTCAACTGTCCCTCCACGCCGGGCACTCTGAACTCTCCCCGCCCTACTTTCCTTCACCATAGCCCCGATCGCCTTGCACCACTGTATCTTTTATGTTTCTGTTTGTCTGTCTATTATCTTTAGTGCTTATTGCCTGTGCCCTCCCATGTGAATGCAAACCCCATGAAAGCAGGGTTGTTCCCTGACATATACCACATCCCCCCCCCCAAAGTGCCTGGGACATAGTAGCTACTTGATAAGTAGTTGTTAAATAAATAAATTAATTAATGTTGTTTTGCAGAGGAACAGAGAGGTTTAGTGACTGGATCAAGGTCACACAGCCAGTAAGAGACAAAACTAGGATTCAAACCCAGACCCCTTGAAGCCGCAGTCCACACACAAGAGCAGCGATCTATCATGCTTCCTGAACAAAATAATAACAATTTGCTTTTTGAGTTTATCTGAAAGTTTAGAAAGCACTTTCACGTCCTGCTGCTCTTAATTGACACCCTAGTCCATGAGCAAGGCAGGCAGGCATTGCTCTTTGTCCCATTTATAGAAGACAGGAATGAGCTTGATTGTACAGGTTTTGAGCCCAGGACCCGATACAGCTCTGCTCTAGGGGGTTCAGGGAGACGCGGGCCACCTCTCACCTGAGTCCTGTGCGGACACAGCCCTGGACCACCTGAGCCTGACCCCACCCCTCCCCCAGCTCCACTGCCTGCACAGCAAGGCTGTCCCTTCTGGCTGGAAGAGGACCTGATGGACTCCTGGCCACCACGAATCTGGTCCTGTGCCCGCCCCAGAGGACACAGCCCTGCTCACGGGGAGCGGGAAGACTGACCACCCTGCAGAGAGCGAAAGGGGTCAGGTCCCTGGTAGGAGCCAGGGTGGGGCCGAGGGGAGAACAGCCCAGGCCTGGATGCCTGGTTCGACCGGAGGCGAGCGGCATCTTTTGGGTCTTCAGTTGTAACATCCCCTGCAGCGCAGGGCACCACTGTCCCCTGGCTCCTGGCTCCTGGGTGCTGGTCAGCTATCATCTTCCAGCAGGTCTGTCCCCTCCCCTCAGAGTCCCGGTCTTCTAGGCCCAGCACACAACTCAGCTGCCCTGGGAGAGCCGGGAGGGGCTGGGGCTTAGGGTGTGTGTGTGAGGAGGGGCTCCCAGCTTACCTTCTGCTTCAGTCTTCAAAACAAGGACCTTTTGCTTCAGTCCCCAAAACAAAGACCTCCAACTTCAGTCCCCAAAATAAGGACAGCCTCTTCCTCGGGTCCTATTTATATCTGAGGGGTGGGGATGGAGCAGTTCCCAGACTGTTCCGTGCCCAGGCTGGGAGGAGGGGTTACATCACCATGGGGGTGGGGGCTCAGGCAGCCAGGCCTGACCAGGGGATGGAAACCAGAGGGACGCTCATGCTGGGACAGCTTCCAGGAAGTCCGGCTGATCGATGGACACTCGCTGCTGAACAGAATGAGCTGGGACGCCGCTGGTTACACATTTACTGAGGTTCCCCCGAGCTGGGGCCACGATCATCAAACGCAGAGCCTCCCGTGTGGGTGTGTGAGGTGTCTCTGACCCGACGTGACGGCCAAGAGCAGCCACCAAGCCCTCTGACCGAGCCCCCTGGGGGTGCGCTTCTGAGAGACCCTGCCATGTGCCCACTCAGGTGGCCTGGGGTGACTTCTGACCCTACAGCCCTGAGCAGCTGGCTCGTTGGTTGTCCCTACAGCCATGTGAGGCTCCCTGACAGGCGTGGAAACAGCCACCCGAGTGAAAGCACCTTGTAGAGCCTCGTGGTGTAGCTGGGGAGCTGGCTGGACGCTAACAACGGTCCAGCCAGATGGAAAGGCGCCAAAAAATGCTTCCAGGCAGAGGGAAGGGACAGTCCGTTCAAGCAGGGGAGCTTTCAGGGAGAAATGTCATTGCAGTCAAACCCTGAAGGAAGAATAAATCGGACTTGGAAGCTGAAGAGGGATTTTTAGAGGTAGCAGCTTGTATGAGAGACAAAGCGGTGGGGACGCGTGGGTTCGTGTGGGGGACACCCAGGCCCAGGTGCTGGAAGGGAGGACAGTGTAGCAGCAAGATTGCTCTGCTCCCCGGTCCTGCCCCCAGAGTTTCCCTGGACACAGCTCTGGCCAAACTCTCCAGGAATTGGGGTTTACACACACGATGAGACTTACTTGTCACCCCAACAGGGACACGTGAAGTGAGTGGCGTAGAGAGGAGAGACCCTGGTTGGAGCCTGAACACCACGCTTGGAGGTCAAAGCCGGGGCCATGAAAGGGAGGAATTGAAGATGCCTGAGCAGGGCTTTTAAAAACTTACTCTGATAGCGACACTGTGACAGGAAGGCTGGATGAAAGACGGAGAAAGGTCCCCAAGTCAGGCGACCGAGACAGTGATGGAACCAATAACCAAGAGCTTTGGGGAAGGAAAGCATGGAGCTGGGTTGTGGACGGTCTTTCGAAACCTCTGGTGGAACCCAGCGGTGAAGACTCGGGGGGACGGTTCCGATGGTCAGGGGGAGTCTGGGCTGCACACAGGTGAGGGAGGCAAATCCATCGAGTCTAACTCACGGCCCTGGGTGGAGACGTTTTACCTGGGGAGACTTATAAATGGGGAGAGGAGGTAAGAGGGGAACCTAGGGAGATGGGGAATGAGGAAGCAGCCTGGGCAGGGGGGCGAGATGGTTTTCCAGAGCCAGGGGTGTCATTTTGAGAAGTGAGAAGTTAGGATCGGAAAGAGGTCTTTGGGGCTGAATGACATAAAGGCTTAAAGCCACTTTGTANGAGAAGTTAGGATCGGAAAGAGGTCTTTGGGGCTGAATGACATAAAGGCTTAAAGCCACTGGAGNTTAAAGCCACTTTGTATGGAGATGTCTCCGCCCAAAGCATTCTCGAGGAATCATTACCACCCCCATGCCCATGCCAGCTGCCCTGGGTGGCTGACCCAGATGCATGGGGCTCCCAGCCTCTCCCCCCAGTTCCTTCCTCTGCTCTCCTGGCTTCACTGGGCCCGACCCCTCACATCATCCCACTGGGGCCTTACAGGTTCTCTCCCAGACCAACTCCTCCCTCCCTGGGCAGGCTGGTCCCTGTCTCCCTGGGGTCCTCAGATCAAAGGTTCTCCATCCTCCAGCCTCTGCCATTCCCACCCCCACCCTAGACCCAGGTCACCCCTGCCTGGTCCACTATCCGTGTCCTGTGATCCGTGTCCTTCAGTAAGTCACCTCTTCTCGCAATCCCTCCGGCCTGAGTGCCTGCCACACATTTACACATCCTGTGCTGTATTTGAAAGCAGCTTTTCAGGGATTACAGCGCAGGTCAGAGTTCCTTCTAACGGGTCCCAAGGTGGGGGAGGCTCCCTAAGCTAAGACAGAAATCTCTCTCTTGGTAATGGCATGATACTGGGAAAACAAGAAAATGGCCATTGTTAGGTCGGACACAACAAAAGACAGCTTCTTAAATGTTTTAGAGATTGGTGAAAGGCCCCTAATCAACTCCGAAGGCTGGTCATCAGCTGGGCGGATTTTTTATGAGAGGCTTTTAAACTCATTAGAATAAATCAGAAAATTGCTAGAGCATTTAATCAAGAATGGAAATTATTCCCAGAAGGGGTAGCCACTCAAACAGACCACAGCCTTTTGACCTAGTTCAGATTTAGGACAGTTCTCATTCCAACAGGGGCTACTGCTTGTGTGTTCGTCCATGGTGGGCGGTTAGGGACAGCTTCCCTAAATAAAGACCATGGAAACTGAATGAGCCCCTCGGCCAGTGTGGCTCAGCAGTTAGAGTGTTGGCTTGAGCACCGAAGGGTCTAAAGACCAAAGAAAGAACCAAGAAAGAAACGGAGACAGCCGTGCTCAGAACTGGATCCAGGAACCAGCCGGGGCAGTCTGCAGAGTGAGCAGAGGCAATGTATCGGTCAGGGGTGCCCGTTGGACTGATGACCCCTGAAGGCCACATCCCCTCTGTGGGTGCTGAGACGAGGCTCGGTCTAACCAAACGGGCTTCTCACCTCCTGACCAGCCAGCCGTCACGGGACAAACACACACAAACTCCCCCACTGTAAAGCAAAACCAAGACAAACAGGGACGGCAGCAGATGCTTTATTTATGCACGTGACGCAATCAGACTTGGAGTATACACAGGAACTGGCTTTTCATTTTTGCTTCTAGGACAAAACTTGTCTTTTCACAGGGACTGCTTCCTGCCTGGCTCAGGACTGTCCCCCATGAAC